TTTATGTTATGGGAAATATGACAGTTACACGAATAGCATCACCTTGTCCTGGTTCACTGAAAATCCCTGTAGCCTCTGAGTCACTGTTGCAAGGAAGACGATTTGAATTGAAGCGATGGAGTTCTGTAGGGCTGTGTCATTGTGCAGTGCAGATCTATCTACCAATAATCATATCTACCTGTGGTCATGTTTCACTCAGTTGATCTTGCAGGCCCTTTATCCGGAGATGTGGTGTAGCTGTTGTGGTCCCAACTGCATGATCCTTAAGATGGGAAGGCCGCTTCGAGTTTAAGCGCGAGTTTTGGCTTCGCTCTGTCACGCATGTGGCTAATAATGCATCAGACAGTTCACCTCTACTGCAGGTTTTTCCATCTATATTAGGTTGACCTGTAAGTAGGAGTCCATCCGCTTGAAAATCTAACAACCAAATTCATAACCAAATTTGAGCTTAAGAGAGGCCTATTCCTGAACGTCATCGCTCCAAGTTATCAGTTCGCGAAGTACGGTTAAAGTTGATGCTATTCAATCATAATAAATAAATGCGTTACTTAATAGGACGAATATTTTTTTGTCGGCTGTCTGGTGACTGTGCGAATTGCAACCGTAAAGCCCACTCATTAGATAGCATCATTATGTATCTCCTACAACCCTGACATTACCACACAAAAGCAGGCTGTTCTAATGTTCAGGCGTTAACTGGTTTCATCGAAGGAATGTGGATAAATCATTTTGCTGAAGAAAATAAGTCATTAGGAATATTTTACCGCGCGTAGGATTTACTTCCAACACGATATATACAGTAAACTTAATCACTGATCATAATTTCTTCCCGTTACTTGAGGATAGGAAGGCTCGATTACATTATTAATTGCAAGTATTATTTGGACTACCATTTTGTCCTGACAATTGCTTCTCAAATCGTTGCCCAGTTCCCATCATAATTGGAAATAAGCTTCGTTTTTAATGTGGAGCAGTTCACCAGGTTTTTCTTTTCCGTCGTAGTTGTGGGTCACTTACGGGCTATGGGTAAAGCCAGCACATACATTTCATGAGAATAACGATTTACGGCAAGTGCTCATCATTTGGCAATGTTTTGGAGTTTAATTGACCGTGACAATTAAGTGGAAATTAAGTTAAAGAAATCCGTTGCTCTGTTTTATTTTCAACGGCAATATTCGGTAGCCTGTAATGTTTGCCACTGAATATTGCTTGAGTCTTGCACAGTTGTTTGGTATTTATCGAAGTTAGAGTGTCATGTTTCGCTAACTTTTCCACCCCTCATTGCCCTGAACATAAATCCGTGTATCTTGAATTGATTAAGTAGCGCGATTAGAAACAAACTTTAGGTGAGCGTAATATCACTTATGACTCAGCGGCCTGTACTTTGTTTGCAATATAATTTTCTAGCAAGACCCAGAAAGTGATTTGAAAAATTTTTCAATTCCATTGCTGAAGAACGAAGACATCGATCGTTGTGTCTTATTTTTCTCCTGAGCTGTTGTGCAACAGATTTAGTGCTTATACAATTTAAATTGCCAAAAACATTTGTAGAAGCGTAGATGCAAAAGCGGCACTCAGTCGAATAAAGGTTGCTTTGCAAGATCAAGGCTCGTGATAGTCAGTAAGAAATATGTCTCTAGAGTTAATACTATTCTCGATTCGTTAGCAGTACTTTGTGCTGCATGATTTCGAATCATTTGTAGTCAACTTGCAATAAAATCCTGATAATCAGCGTTACGTTAAAGAATTTCATTGGGTGAACGCTATCCACTAATAATACTAATAACAGTGGAAAATAACTTGCACATAGCACCATGCCTTTCTGACCCTTAAAAGTAGTCGCAAATTTAAGTATTGCAAAAATAAAAAGTTCGAATTTCCAAAGTAAAAGTACATATTTTGCCCCTGAAGTTAAAGAAAAATAAATCATACTTGATCAAGAGATGAGCCACACTGTTTGAAGCAATCACAGCTGAAAAGTGAAGAACAGGTAATGTGTCTTCTTGGACAGAACTTGTCAAGAATTTTCCAGTAGTTGACGCTCCGGCAGCTACAGTAAGTAGTGATACAGTTGCTGCAAAAGCGACAGCACGCAGAGAAGCTAATAATATTCGAATTGAAAAGAGGAATTCCTTTTATCTAGTAAACAGCTATTAGAAAATCGCATCATTTGTGCATCGTAATTACCAATAGAACATAGCGAATTCCAACGACACTGAGCACGAACAGAAAGTAGACGGTGATGATCAGGGCTATCAGCGCCGGCAATGGCACGCCCAATTCGTAGCCAGACTAGAAACAACATAAATGATCTCGAATAAATTAGTGATCTATGATTACCATGTGAAACGATACTCCATGCGTTGTTTGTTCACATGTTGCTATGACAACCAACAGTAGGCTTGGTGCTTCAGTACGAAAAGTTTCTTCATGTGTTCGTGTTTGACTTTAACTGGCAGCATTCATCAATGGATATTTTGATAGATAATCGTTGTTCTTGTCAGCTGAACAGTCTAGAACAGTGATACTTATTTGAAAAATTGAAAACAATCAACTCTAGATGCAGCAGTCTCTACTTCAGTAATACTTTGAATGAATCAATTTCTCGTGGCACAGAAGTAAATAATCAATCAAATATATGTTGACTGTTCTCGATAAAGGTAGAGTAAACACAATTTTTGTAATTTATTAGAAGTAAACATTCATTTTTGAACGTTGTTATAATTTTGAACTGCACAAATCAGAATTAGAACAGCAAAGTGTGCCAACATTAGTGAATACAATTCATTCTGAATCACATTTCAGACCTGTATTGTTCGTTTCTCACTATTACAGAAAAGACGCATCGCATTTTTACGATTCGGACATACAAAATATACTGACCGCGAAATCTTCTTTGAAGTTTCTCGATTTTAAAAAATACGAAATTCTCACTAAAAATGAAAACTAGTTAAGCAATTTTGCAATTCTTTATAAAATTTTGCTAATGCGAATCGATAATCAGTGTATATTTCACTACCTTAGAAGATGCGACAATTTCGGAGATGCAATTTTTACTTCACAGACACTACAGTGGGAATTTGTTACTTTAGCGTAATTGCATGAGTCAGATATGCAGGAAATCAACGGAACGAAATCTGATACAGTTTTCTTTCTCTTGAAAGAAAGCATCATTTACCTAATTTATCTAGCTCGAGGCTGACATTCTCCTTTGAGAATGAAATTGAGAACAACTTAGCGACGGCAAATTACCCTACTTTCTGTGGATTTTAGCAACAGTACTGGCGTCTAATCATTTCGTTTAAATGAAGTGAGTTAATTGTGAGAATATGTTTTCATCAGCAGATCTGTTATTTTTCTTTGAATTCTGTTCAGATGAGCTCTAAACGATGATAGATTGACTGCTTATCACATAAAATCAATTTTGTTCGATACATCCTATCAGTTTCAAGCAGCATACTAAGCCGATAGGAGCCAAAAATCGTCCAACATGAACTGGCGACTAACAGGCGCATCATACTATCTATCGGCTGGATGGAGAACGGATGTGTCAGAATGCAAAGGAATATGATTAAACTTAACTTTATTTATGGCACTTGTAGAGCCCGACAACTAACACGCTTTCGGGCATTTAAGATCTTCCTTCATAGAGGAGATTAATTTGTAATAGTACAAAAAATGGAATCGACAGAAGTTGTACGCTGTCACATTCACGTATATTTGGCATATTTTGGTTTCCCTTACCGTTAGGAAAAAAACAACTTGACGCATTTTCTAAACACCTAACTCGTAAAACCTTCTGTTTTCAACTTCCAACAGAGCTCGTCAATCAATATATTTAAGCGTACACATAATCCATACAATTCTGTAGCAAACGATTAACAGGTACAACCATGGCTGCTCAGTACTTTATAAAAACAAATTACGGTATAAATTTCGAGTTGGTTTTATCTGGCAGTGAAAGTAAGCTTTCTTGATCGGTTTTGTTACCTGATTGCTTTAATGTTGAGCGCGAACGGTTTTGTGTTTAGTTTTGAGCGGTTACATAAAGTGTTGATCCAGTGCCAAATTATATTATATATATAGCGCTCTATTCATGAAGTTGACAGTGCAATTTTGATCTTCGTTTCTGTCACCAGTTAGGAGTGCCTTATTTTTAAAAGTCGACAGTAGCTATGTATAGTATAGCATGTAATCTCCCGCTATGTTCCCAAAGAACGGTACTCATTTTTCAACCTCGCTAGGAACTTTGCGAGTGACCCCCATCGGGGATTGAGTTCGGCACGTATCGCTTCTCAGTTTTACGCATTGCGTGGTAAATTCTTTGCTCAGGGAAGGTACTTCGAGAATTCAGAACACTTCTTAGGCAGTCCTACTAACACGGCACATTATGATTAGGACAGTACTTTAATGGATTAAAAATCAACTGCATGATCACTGATCTCGGAGGATTTTTATCTTCATTCTGCCAGTCCAAAGAAACTTGATGTTTGGAAAGTGTACAGCGATGCACAACATTTGGTTCAATTATTTACGCATGACAAGGATTCCAATCAGCAGCATAGTCGCTACCCGGTCTATAAGGCAGACAGCGCGATTTCATTATGAAGCGTCGGAAATTGTTCCGCGGGAACGAGTTGGAAATTAGAACATCCTTACTTAGAGGGAAAGGGCAAGAGCTATTTGAAGAGGCCGTAGGATACCAACTCAACAGACGCAAAGGGTCTGCAGTCCTGAACCTCTGTTAGTGGAAGCTATTCTTACTCAGGTGTCCATATCGCGACGGGAGTTCAGGCCGGTGTTGGTGTTCTGGTAGAATCCAGCCTCTCTCTTTGAATCATTGATCGAAAGCCTGTCTGCAGAAGGGTTTTAATCCTCCGACTGAATCTGCAACAGGCTAAAGCGTTTACATTGTTAGAGGTCAATGCGCTCAGTTTAGAGGGGGAATATGATACCTTCCTTGCTATGTCCGAGGTGCCGAATACAGAGTCCCTTATAATGATGGG